CCCTGAAAAGCCAAAGAAAATGAAAATGTTATGACATGAATATGAAATGCAGACGCAAGAAAAAGGATCACAGGCACAATTCTGAAGCAGGAAGGATAAAGTATGATTACAAGAACCCCATAGGTAGGCTTCTAATAGGTAGGTGCCTAGAGTTATGGATTTCTTTCAAACACATTATGACCATGACAAAGAGATACCACAATAATAATATACTTGAAAGGATCTCGTCTAGGTGAGGTTCTCGCGTTGTCCCACGAGAAAGGCTTCTCGCGAGTCTCCACTACACAACCATCGAACCCAAGGTTTCTAAAGGTATCTCAGAGTCATAGATCGAGGTTGAAAATATCATTGTCAAAATAACGATACGTTCAAGGGATCTCATCTGATTGGGGCGTTCATGTTAACCCTTTCGAGTTAACACTACCAACCACCATGGAAAATGGTAAAAGGTCCTTAGAGTTATAGATTCAAGCCTGAAAACATTACTACCATGGCAAAGGCTCACCACGACAATAACATTCCCAAGGGAATCAACTCTAAGCGGGGTCCTCTATCCTCCCAACGAGAAAGGCTCCTCGAGGGATTCCACTACACGACCACCATTCTAATCCTAAGTTTTTCTCGGACTCGGGTGTAGAGCCATCTCACAGAGTGCCTGTAACCACAGAAACCCAATAATCACAAGAGATACAAATAGGATATATAATAAAGATAAACAAGTAAATAAATAAACAAGCAAGCGAAAAACAACATAGTAAGAACACAAACAAGCGAGACTAACACTTATGAATCGAGTCAAGTTAGGCTTGACTCTCTCTTGCATAGGGTAATGCATACAATTCCAGCAGAGTCGCCAGCTGTCGTACCTAAAAAAAACACGATCCTTCGCGAATGGTCGCGGAAAACACAGAGTCGCCACCGAACTTTATTTATCCTAAAAAGGGAAAGGAAAATATCGATAAAACCTTTAAGGAAAGAACATGGTCATTGCAACCAAGTTCTAGGTTCGGGAATCGATTGCATGAGGTGAAGGTATTAGCACCCCTCACGTCCGTTGTACTCAATGGGAACCTCTTGATTCGATTCGTAAGAAATGTTAGTCTAGTTTGCCTGTTTTCTTCCAAAATAAAAGGTGTAAAGGTAAATGTAAAGAGGTTTGGACTGCTGAGGAGAAATGGGTGGTTTTAGATTAGAGTGCTCGCCAAGGATTTTGGACCTAGTACCTACGTATTTTCACTTGAAAAGAAGTGAAGAATCAGAGCATCCGTAGTTCGTGGGACTACGGGAGAAAGAAGGAAATTTAGGGGAAAGTGCTCGCCAAGATCATCGCAATCTTGTGCCTACGTATTCTCATTAACACACGAGAAATCAAAGCGTCCGTAGTTCGGACTATGGGGAAGGTCTCAATCGCACTAGGGCGAGAGAAAGGGTTTTGAATAACAGATTAGTCTCGATTGCATTGGGGCAAGAGAACGGGGAAGTTAGTTGTTAGTGTGCTCGTCAAGGATAGAGATCCTCGTGCCTACGTATCTTACATTCAAAAGAGAATGAAGAATTAGAGCAGCTGTAGTTCGACTTACGGTTGTCGGTTTGACTTTAACGAAAGATAGTTAGTCATATTCGACAAAAAATATTTCTTTATCTAAACTAGTGAGGAGAGGACGCTTGCACCACTTTGAATGGATTTCCATACATCAACATTCATGGGGAACATGCCACTTATATCGACTCAAGTAGGTTACGAACGAAGCAATATTTTGCGCCGTTCTCAAGACACCATATCTCACATCTAAGAAAAGGTTTAATGGTTCACACGGCGGCGAGAATTAAATTTATGTGTTGATGTTTAGCATTTGGGTTTGAAAAAGAGAGGATAGATCTGAATAGGTTTGAATATGTTTTAGCGTTTTGATCGCACGATGGCGAGGAAACAAGGTTTAACATATCGAATGTTTAGCTAGAGGTGACGATTACCTGAAGCTTAAGAAAGGCTTCTCGGGCCCAAGTAATCGGGAAAGCAAGTCAAAGGCTTGACTCTCTCTCTCTTTTTCATCCTTAACCATGAAAGATGTGAAAATGATTTGAGTAAGATAATCGGATGACGATTACTCAAAGCTTAAGAAAGGCTTCTCGGGCCCAAGTAATCGGGAAAGCGAGTCAAAGACTTGACTCTCTCTCTTTTTCATCCTTAACGGAGAAGGAATGGATATGGTTCGAGTAAGTGGATCGGATGACAATTACTCGAAGCTTAAGAAAGGCTTCTCGGGCCCAAGTAATCGGGAAAGCGAGTCAAAGACTTGACTCTCTCTCTTTTTCATCCTTAACGGAGAAGGAATGGATATGGTTGAACGAAGGAAGATGGTTGGAAGTATTTTAAACGGATGAGGATTACTTGAAGCTTAAGAAAGGCTTCTCGGGCCCAAGTAATCCAGAAAGCGAGTCAAAGGCTTGACTCTCTCTCTTTTTTATCTTGTACTTAAGAAATAGCTTTGATATAATTAGAGTAAATTAATCGGATGACGATTACTCGAGACTTAAGAAAGGCTCATCGGGCCCAAGTAATCGGGAAAGCGAGTCAAAGGCTTGACTTTCTCTCTTTTTCATCTAATTGTTTAGAAAAAATAAGTTTTGAGTTTGTCGTATTGTACATCTTTTAAAGAAGACAATTGTTTGGACTTAAGAAAGACTCCTCGGGCCCAAACAATCGAGAAGAGAAATCAAAGGCTGATTCCAACTCCTTTTTCATCTTTATCGAAATTGTGTTTAAATATGATTAAGTATATTAATTCGATTTGGAGAAAATGCTTGATATGAATCAAGGTTTGAATTTATGTGTGAAACGAAAACAATTGAACTAAAGGATAGGAGATCCTAAGGATCTAGGATAAGGTCGATGGCAAGGCATGGGAACTCGACTTACAAGGGTGAAAGTGATTCGATATTGGATTGAGAAATTATTTTTATCTTGAATGAGAATGTATGAACTCCATTAAGTAGGATCACGGTATATGACGAAATCATACGATCACATTAAATAATCGGAAGTTAAACAATTTAAATCGAACTATCAAACACCAAACTATTAAATAATAAATAAAAAAATGGATATTTCTTGAAATTAATTAATTAATTAATTATATTTAACATAACCAACAAAATCATATATATGTCTTTTTCTACTACTTATACTAAAAAAACATAAATTAATTATTTAATTAATTAAAAATATATTTGACGAAATCGACAAATTATTTCTCTATATACATATTTTTACAAATTATAATAGTACTAATAATAATAAAATATAAAATAAAAATAAAAATAAATTAACAATTTAGTTAACTAATAGTAACTATATTTAATACAATTAATAAACCATTTTTTATATACATATTTCCTGATAATAAAATAAAACCAAAATAAATTAATAATTTAATTAATAGTATATGTGATTAATAAATCCTATTTTATATACATTTTCTAGAAAATAATAATAATGCTAAAAATAATAATAATAATAATAATAATAATAATAATAATAATAATAATAATAATAATAATAATAATAATAAATAACTGAAATAGAAATAAATCAATGGGCCTATATACAAAGCAAATAGGGGGTGCTATTATATCCAACTTCCATGCCTTTATCTTTTCCTCTAAAGAAAAAAACAAAGCCGAAAATCTGAGAGCTCGCCGGAGAAGACGAAGAAACCGCGACGAGAACCGTTGTCTTCTCCGGTAACGGTATCCCATCTCACCATGAGTTAAACACAAACCCCACCCAAAATCACGTCCTAAAGCTAAATTTAACCTTAAATCCGACGAACTCCTAGTAGAAAAACACAAATTGGTACATTCCTCTTCAAAACCCTAACCCCAAAATTCCCACAAAACGCTGCGAAAACAAAATCAAAAACGCGTTGTACTCACGCGAAAACGGATCAGAACACAAGTTGAAGTAAAATGACTCACCTTTTGAGACTTGAAAACGCGGGTATGAATCGCCCTCACCTTATCTCTTCTTTCTTCTTCTCCTTCTTTTTGATGTTGGTCACGATCCAAAATCAGATATTGAACTGGGTTTTCTATGCGTATAGAACTTAGGTTTTTCTTTAGTCCCTCGGCCTCCCTTCTCTTTCTGTTGCTTATATAGTGGAAACATTAGGGTTTTCTTAGGTTGAATCTTGTTGCAGCATCTCCATTTTTGCAAGTTCTGTAACTTCTTTCGTAGATGCCTAAAATGCTTTGCCATATTAGTGAAACTACCCTGCTGTACTTGCTGCCATATTCTGAGTTTGTTTTTTTGTTAATTGGTGACATTTGAAAATTATGGTCCCACTTGTCTGATTTTCCTTCTTTTCTTATCACAACGTATATTGTATGCTTTGAATGACCTGATATTTTGAATTTTTACTTCTGTACTAATTTGAAGTTTTGGAATGATGCAGGAAAACAATTTATTTACAGCAGGGACATCATTCTTCAATAGATTATTCGATGTGTCTAATCTGCAATAATTTCTGCAGCTCAACTGGTTTGTGCATTAGTCAAATCTTGGAGTTTTGGCCTCATAAATTGAGAATTTGTTGCAGTAACAAAATAAGGAAAAGTGTGAAATTTCTTGATTTCTAAACTTAATGCCATCAACTTTGGATTTGTTCCTGCTTCTGCTTTTAGTTTAATACGAGTTGTGTCACTAACTGTCGATATAATGTTCATGCCTCACATCAGTAACTCTTTAATGTATTTTGTTTAACAGATTCAGCTATCCAGAATTTAAATTCCGACCGACATCCCGACAAAACCTAATGGCCACAGACCATTATAGGCTTACATCGACTTACATCGTTAGTGAAAATCACAGCAGATGGCAATCTGGACATGTTTAGAGCTTAGGAAAGCTTTTGCAGTTACATCCACCATTTCTGTTGATTCCTCATCAGACAAAGAGACCCGTCCATAATCCATAACTTTCATCCTTAAATCTGAAGTTGATGAACACGAGTACAAACGGTAGATTAAACCATATTTTTCGCGTGCTTTATAATTTTGTCAGTTGCTTTTCCGTTTTATCTTGATTGAGAGATTTTGTGGAAGACCACCGGCACGAGTTATGGAATAGCGTGAAAATCTCGACAGCAGATTGTGATGGGTTTGCGACGGCTATACAAGTTGAAAGTTGGATGTTCGGAGCTTTCAACAGTTTATCATTCTTATCTCCAGAGTTGGTTTATCTCGATAAGTCATTAAGTTGTCGGCATTCATTGAATAAAAATGTCGTGAATGAGGTTGTTGTATGGTGTAACGACGAGGTTGATGGTGAACCGTAACGGCTAAGTTAATTTTTATTTTTGTGGCTTCCTGTATCTAAAAATGTTCTTTGGTTCTGTCCATTTTAACTCCTTTTTCTTCTATGTTCTTAACAGGCCTTGGTATGGTGGTGAGTAATTTGAAATGAAGGCAAGAGACTTGCCAGATGAAGCTCGCTTTGATGAAGAGTCGATAATGACGGTAGCCCGGACTAGTTATGGATTGGCACAAAACTTGGGGCTATTTGACGAGATCATGGAACATGTTGTAGCACACAAGTCGTAAAGAATTGTCTTAGACTTAGCTTTAAGAAAAATATTCATGATATTTGAGTTTTTCTTTAAACTTTTGCAACCTTTTAGGAATTGTAGCATGGGTGATAGCATGAACTTCTGAAATGGTGTAATTGTAGCGTGAATTGAATCATAGTTTTATGATTTGGCCGTGTAGCAGCTTGTAACTTGTATCTTAATTCTTGCTTTATAACTCCAAAAAAAATCAAATTAGTATAGTAGCTTGTAAATTTGGAATTTAAATCATGAGCTTTGATTTCTCTTGTAATTGAGTTCCCATGGTAACATTTAACTTCACATTTGCGGATTGAACTTTTCTACCAAATGTCTTTGTCTTGAAACTTGCTGGAAACGACCCTATCCAAGGCCTCCCCCCCTCCTTAAGACAAAAAAATTACTTGTGGCGCAGCTTGGAAAAAGTATAATCACTTGAACAATTAAAGTAATTCTTGCAAGTATGTTTTGAACAAAATGAATCTAAGTTGGCTTAATTTTGATCACGCCTTGAAATTAAAAGGTACAATTCCAATTTTCCACCAATTGGTCTTGAGGCTAAACATAGCTTGAAATCTTAAACAAACTATAAGCAAAACTTGAAGATAAATATTATGCCACAAAACATGACCAATTATCACCTGGGCATTTTAGATATCATTGTAAATAGTCTTGAAACCAGTTTGACATAGAAAGATCATGTCTTGACTATGATAGTGAGGTGACCTCTTCCTATCTCCACTTGAATTTAACACAATTGCAAGAGATTATAGTCACAATGAACACACATAGCGCCCTCATAAATAACAACCCTAAAGGATCGTGGCCATAGGCCAAAATGATCAATTAGAGAGAAGAGAGAGTATGAATCACGTAGATGCTTATCATGAGATGATAGGACAAAAGGGGGTACGACAATGTTGTACAAAATTCACACCACACCGCACACCTACTAGTCTTGATAACTTGGCCTAATACATGATTCAATACTGCAATACCTGAGCTTAGACAACACGGATACAATGATATTATGCACAGATGATGAAAATGTTATGAGACGTAGAAAATGGTTCAGGGTCAAAATTAGGGTGTAACATTGTGTTTATTCACTAAACCATGAATTATTTATCACCCTTACCTGAGTTTTTCACTGAGTGTTTGAAACTAGGGAGGTCGTAGGTGTATCTTGTTGATGTTGTTCATTGCATCCATGTTCTTGGATATGGTTTTCGCATAGCATTTCCATGAGTTAGTTGGAACTGATTCATTCAAAGTTTTGAATGTGCCATTGTGTGATTAAAAAAAAGAGATTGATCAAGAAAAAGAGTTTCACGTGTGTTGTTTAGAATAATTGTGTTTTTGGAAAATATGATAGGGAAAGTTTTTGTTGCCTCCATTTGTTTCTTCTTTAATGCATGACCACTTGTTTCTTTATTTGGTTGTTGAGAAAAAAGAGGAAAACGGATTGGCGATTTAGATGAGTGGGGCGTTGTCCCTTTCCTGCCAACATGATATTCTTATTACTTTTTATTTTTTCTTTGATTTTTATTTATTTATTTATAGAGGCCATTACTTTTGGTACTTGTATCGAATTATTTATTAATAATAAAAGGAACTTCTTTATTATGTTTGTTTTTCCAAAATAATAAATTCCATAGAACAGCTGGTTCGTTTAATGAAATATTAAGCGTGACTTAATCATCAGATCTGATTAAACATAATGACATTATTCTTAAAGTATCTGTTGTCAAACTTTACTGTGAAGTGGGATAACCTTAAAGCATTAAGACTATCATGTAGATAGACTGATGATCACTTCTCATGGATCATGGATAAGGATTTATCAAGTCTTAACATAGGTATGAATATTAGGACTAATATTTATACTGGATTGACCCGCTATGAGAGTACTACGTAGAATGTTATGCAAAGTGTCATACGTTACTCTCATGGTGATAGTGGTGTATGTCACACCCTCATTTTCACCTTTATCCTTTCATACTCTGCATTCGTCATATCACACATTATTCCATTGCATATCGAGCATGTGGGTTCACAAGGTAAGGATTGGGTCGATTTGTTATTTTCCATTTCATATGAGACAATTTGCTTATCATGGGCCACTTGAGAGAAAATGTTCATTATCTAAGGAAGGTTTACTCATCTAGATTTCTTCAAGGAGAAGTTACTTGAAAAATATTAGGATATTCAAGACATATTCCTAATGCACATGAAATGCAAGGCCAAATTCAAGTTTGCTTCATCCAACTTTGTTTCAAATTATTGATCAAGTGGAGTTCAAATTTGCAAAGCATGAGTCAAGATCACAAGTCCATAATTCAAGATTTCATCCATTTCAAGTTTAATGGTTCTAGGGAAATCCATCATGAATTCATGAATTAGAGGCAAGAATATTACAAAGAGAAATTTTATGACATTACAAGAATGTCATTTGTTACAAAATTTACAACTTTAAGTAATGTTTAGAAATTGATCTATTTCTAATCTTCATTCAAGCTTCTAATCAATTTCATGCTATGGTACCCTTCATGCCCAACAAGTTTACATGTCCAACATTATGCTTGCAAACATCCAAAGAAAATATTTAAGAGCTAACTCAACATTGGAATGTTTCAAGATCAAGATTATGCATGCTTATTCATGGGCAATATGAAGGTAATCCAAAACAGCCCCATGCAAGAAGTAACAAGTTGCCTCATGTCACAAAATATACATGTCACAAGACCAAGGGAATAGCATGTGACAATGCATCTAAAAATCAGAATTTCAAAATTCTGCCCAAAGGTTAACATTGACCAAGAGAGTAGTCCAAGCATAAGCCAACAAAGAGGTGAAAGGATTGAGGGCAATGTAGAGGGCTATAGAAAAAGATAGCATGAGAAAGTAGTGCAGTAAAATGCAGCATAGCCATATACATGGAAATGGAAAGAAAGAGAGTGACATGAGAAAAGATGGTAAGAGGCATTACCCCATGCAAAAATCTGATATGTGGGGAGAAGAGAAAACCCTAGAGGGGAGAGATAAGAAGGAGGGGGTTGTAAACAAAAGGAGATGACTCTTCACACATTCAACATCCATACTCATATTGCAAACTAGAAAAATAGATAGTGCAATAGAAACCCTAAAAAACCAGAAAAATAGAAAGGAAGAAAAACCAAAAAAAAGAGAGTGATATAGAAGCATAAGAGGACCATTGAGAAGCAGAATCTTCACAACATAGAGTGAAGAGTGGAGAGCACATCCAACGAAGGTCATTGAAGTACTTGTAAGAAGGATATAAAGCTCTTGGTATCCATTTCTTCAAACCTTTCTCCCTTTACTTTTTGCTTTTATATTCATTTCATTTATTCTCTTGTGTGCTGTTGTACTGTATATATCATGTAAGGTCCTAATAGGGACCAAGAAACCATTTGCAAGAACCATAAAAACGAAAGAGAACAAAGGAAAAAGTTAGGTTTTTTCACTCTGGTAGCCTGACACGGGCCGTGTTGCACCTCTGTTTGAGTTTTCAACATGTAAAATGCCCAGGACCTCTGACACGGGCCGTGTCACACAACACGGCTGCCCGTGTTGCACCTCTGTTTGGCCTTAAAAACTTGTTTTGTCCCAGACCCTATGACACGGGCCGTGTCACATAACACGGCCACTCGTGTCACACCTCTGTCACGCTCCAAAAACCCACATTGCATGTACCCTATGACACGGGTCGTGTCACACCACTGTTTTTCGCTTATTTTGTTATTTTTACCTCCAAAAAATTTTTTTTCCCGATATTTTTACATGTCTCGATATTTTTTAGCCGACTAACCCCATATGTTTGTATGATTTTAGTGTGAATATTTTTGTTGTCCTTGTTAAATTTTGATTCCAAGAACCATTTTCAAAAACAAACTCTCGATTTTGTCGAGTCATTTTTAACCTTGTAAGTCGGTTGTCTTGTGCACCGCCATCGACCTTGTCCATATCGCTTCAAATGTATCTTTACAAACAATAAACCTTGATCCAACGTCAAGTGATTCTCTTTTCTCATAAAAATCCAAAACACAATAAAATAAACGATTAGAATTATGCACCACGAACTTTAAAGTGGTGGAGAAGGAATGAGAATGGAATCCTCGTACACTCGTTCCGAATGTTTTGAATACAAGGCGCTCGACTTGGTTATTCGAGACATTCATTTCTATCCAAAGTCTTTTGTATAATCCTAGTCAAGAATAAATTCCTCCCTAAGAAAAAACCTAAAAACAACATCAACTCATCAAACTTATTTTGCCTTAGGGCGTCAATCCGACAACCCTTTTTTCAAGGTATAAAATCAACCAATATATAATTATTTCTTAAGTGGCCGAACTACGGCTACTCTGATTTCTCACACATGTTGAGAATACGTAGGCATAGGATTGCGATGATCCTAGCGAGCACAATTTTCTTTCTCTCCCATCTTTAATCATCCATACCCTTTTACCCAAGGACATGTTACGTCCGTTCTACCGCAAACAGGTAATGCATAAGACTCCAAGAGCGAGCCGCAATACACCTAACTGCTAGAATGCGCACGATAGCATCATCCACCCAACATCCTGTTTTCCATCGTAGTCCCATGAACTATGAATGCTCTGATTCTTCACTTCATACAAGTGAATATACGTAGGCACAAGGGCCCCAATCCTTGGCGAGCACTCTAATAAACACCAACCCCCTCTTTCTTCAAATAAGCAAACTCTTAGAACAAAACACCCATTAACGCCAAACAACTTAGGAGGTTCCCATCGAGTACGATGGATGCGAGGGGTGCTAATACCTTCCCCTTACATAACCGACTCCTGAACCCTAAGACTTG